ATTAACGATTGCCGAATTACGCGAAACGGTTTTTATCGAATAACTCTTTTGTTTTTTTTTTTTTTTTTTTTTCAAAACTATTATTGAAATATCTTTAAAAACCCAAATGTATCGGCATTGTTGTAACGGTGGGTACTCTAGACAGTCACGATCGTATTACGGTGTACGGAAAGTATCGTAAGCCTCTGCCGAAATGAATAAATTGCAATATGAATATAATATGATAAGTGTTCAAAAGCTCCGGCGGAATATTCGTCGTATACAATCATTGTCTCGGTCGAAAAGTTCACGAATGGAAACGAGTCGCGTGAAAGTTTGTCGACGTCGGAAAGTCGAAACATTGATATTATCTGAAAATATTATCTTTATGACGTATAATGGAATAAACGGCGAGAAAATGCGAAAACGTTTTAATTGTCGCGCGCTCGCGGGAAAAGCTCTCCGAAATCTGTTGTTCGCGTCCAGAGTACAATCTCCGATAATAACAATACCAGCGGTATTATTGTCAATCTGGAATCATTTTCTTTTCGACGCGATTATTCAAAAAAAAAAAAAAAAAACGCTCGTTTATAATCCCGGTCCACCGTTAGAACGTCCGTACCTGTGCACGTGTGTTCGGCCCGCGACGGATCCGCAAAAAGGAATTGTAGCCGACCGGTCGAACCGTCCGCGTTTCAATCGAATTGCAAACAAACCGTACGGATAACGTAACGTGACGGGACGGATCGAAACGATATTAATTTTGGAAATCCAATCCCGCGGAAAACCGAACAACGGTGTCCGCCCCGTCGGTATATTGTTACCCGACGTGAAGTCGCCCCTAAGTCCGAATCGATACTGTATTATTGTCGGCCGCGTCGTCCGAAGAGCGTCCGTAAAGAAACGATTCGGGAGGGAGGGAGGGACGGAAATCGGAACGCGATCATAATGATTTGGTTTTTTTTTTTAAATAAAGTTCCGGAGATTTAACCTTTCGTTCTCGTTACAACGGCCGGCAGTCGAAACGTCCGAAAAAAAAAAAAAAAAACAAAAATTCATCAACACCGAGCTCCGGCGGATAAAACGACGACTGTAGTAAAAATATCCGGATCGATGATATCCGAGGGAAAAACATTCAGTTTTTAGGCGGACAACAAAATATAAAGGTGAAAAATATATCCGAGGACAAAACAACTAAGGTGAAAATATCAAAGTAAAAGTGTACAATAATATTAATAAAATACCGCGTTGTTATTCGTATCCATATACGTTCTAAGTGACGTTCTCGACTATTCGGTTACAATCCAATCGATAGCAAAATGTATTTTAAAAAATCACATTCGTCAGTAAAAATACCAAAATACCAAAACAATATCAAGACGTAATATATAAATAACAACACGATTATTTATTAATCATTATACATTTAAACTTTGATATTTTTTTTCTCGGATATATTTTCCAACTTCATATTTATTCCGCCTGGATATGTTTTAAACTGGATATTTTTTCCCCGGACATTGTAGGTCAGGATATGTTTACTTAGATTCGGACAAAATACGCCCGCAATTTTTTCCCTGGTGTACGAAATTTCCAACCGTAAATGATTTCCACGTTCTGTACGAGCACCTACGACTTGTTTTTAACTTTAGAACTATCGACCGATTCGAACGGGAACGATTATATTCTCATAAACAGGGCTCGGAAGTCATAGGCGGACAATTTGGCGTAATGTGCGCGCGAACAATCGAAAATCTGCATCCGAATCGGTAAAAATATGCGACTGTTCAAACGTGCGAACCGAAAAAAAAAAAATTCGGACATAATCCGCACGATGGGTGGGCCACCATACTGTTGTATAGGTGAGAACTCGGGAACGTAGGATATAGAGGGAAATTTAATTTATATTTGTATGCGACGATAAATCTATGATAACGAATAACGATTCTCAGCGGAGTTCGATCGTGTTTTAATGGGGCCGTAGTAATTTTCATTTTAAAAATAATACGTTTTCGCGGTTTTCCAAAGTTTTATCCTGGGAAAATCAAAAAATTACCTCCTTAGAAAACTATCCCGGTCGGGTTTTCTTTCGGAAAAAGTATTATACCTACGTTAAAAAAGAAGTGAAATTACTGGTAGAAAAATTAAAAAAAAACAAAAACAAAAATAATAAAATAAACGTCGTTTTAAAACCAATTCGTTTCTTGCAACGCTCGAAATCTAGAATATAAAAATAAAATGATAATAATAAACATAATACTACGATTTTTATGATTTGTTACGGGACCTCGTGATAATATTGCGTATAAAACAAAAATACATCGAAAACGATAACGAAACGCCTATGCAAAATGGTGACAAAAATAAATACCAACGTTAAATAATGTCGAGTTTCACATTTAATAATGAAATTTAAAATATTTAAGTTAAAATAAAAAAAAACAAAAAAATTAATCAATGAAATATTATTTTTTCCTCTTAAATCGACAGAATGTAAAAAACACGAACTTTAAACGTCTAAATAAACACGTTGAACGGAGCGATTGGTTTTACAATAATATTTTTTTTTCTGTGAACGATTTTTCTACCGGAAATTTACTGCGTTTCCCGAAAGGAAATTTTTGTGACAATGTACTTTAAGGAAGTCGCTTTTTGATTTTTTTTTTTTCCAGAGGTTTTCATAATTAACGGGAAAATCCGGCAGGAAACGTAGGAAAAACGGGAAAATGTACGAAATGTATGTATGTATGATATTTTCGAATCGTGAATATTACGGATTTATAAAACGAACACCGCTCGGAATCGTTTTACGTTCACAATGATCAATCGTCGCGTACAAATACACATTCAATTCCCCTTTACATCCCATCTTCCTAACCGCTCGTCTACAACAGCGGCCCACCCATCGTGCGAAGCGTGTCCGAATGTTTTTAGATCGAGAAAATTCAAAAATCCATTTGCCGCTCGTATGAATTCCGAGCCCTGATATTGAAAAACGACTGTCGGGCTCGTAACTATATTATAGCTGTGTGATAAATTAAACTGACTTCGACGAAAAAATAATAATAAATATACTATACACATTAATACTTACGTACTATATACTCTTATTCGGAACTAAATTTCGGACGTATTTTTACCGGAATTTTTTTTGTTTCGTTTCGGAAATTTCTGCTGCCGCAAGATAGTTTTAACAGGACGTTGCGTCTGAACGCACGCGTCAGACGGATGACAGTCGTCGGCCCGGTTCGCGGGACCCCGACTGCGGCGGCCGGCGGACCATTTTCCGGGACCGCCGAGCTGACTGATGTTTTGAAAATTAATTTAACCGATAAAATCGCAAAACGATAATTAACACAACAACAGAGGCAATTATCGTTCATTTAGATGTCCTCGACAATCAGTCATAGCGACGACCATTATTCTCCAGTGTCTACCACTCCCTAAACAATTTCGGGATGTCGACTGTTCGTATATCAGATTCGGCTAGCTTTAAAAAAAAAAAGAAGAAAACCTGTAAGTCCCTATTCTAGCCGATAATCTGTCAAATGAAAACCGTAACATTTTATTAAATTTCAACCGTAACTCGACCGCGACCTCGTCGAACGTTACTCGGACGCAACGAGATCGTCACATTATCGGGGGCTGTAGAGCGGATGGAAGAACTTGAGAACGAATCTCACTTTTTCTCTCTCTCTCTCTCTCTCACTCTCGAAAGAAAAATGTATAAAATTCACCGTTTCGTGTCTGATACAGTATACCGCGACGAGCGAACCCTTTGAAGCGTAGTAAAATGTGTACACGAGTTTTCTGCAACGCCGCGGGACATTAATTTGTTGAAAAGTTAAAAGTAAAGTTAGAAGTGACTGTGTTTCGTTCAGGAAATTTTAACTCGATTAGTTAGACGGCATATTTATACGCCGGTTAGGCGACGTAACTAACTTATCTAGTGGCGTTTCTTTTTAAAATCTCGACCCGATTGCGTTAAATTTCGATTATTAATATCGGATTTGCTCGCGAAAAAGCCGCCGGTGTTTTCGCGCGTGCCGTTTGTTCAGTGGCGGCGAGTAATCGAATAGTTAAAAAAAAAAATACGACGAATGCGATAAATACGGGATTTCTTTTTCGTACGCTGCGGCCGTAACATATCTCCCGACTGAACCGACGTTAAACATCAACTTACTCTTAGCACGCGGTCTAAACCAATGTTTTTGAAATTTTTTTTTTTTGTTTTTCGTCCATCGAAATCGGGAGGCGGACAATCGGTCTACACACCGGCGTGCACATTTGTTTTTCTCGATTATTTCAACCGATTACCCGTCCGGGCTCGGTTTTCCGAAACGGCCTGTCCCCCGACGCGGAACACCGTGATCCGAGGGCGCCGCCGTCACTGTCTTCTCGCGTCGTCGCACTTTTCGGGAAATTCGACGCCCTGCCCGCGAGTGCCACGGCGGCGGCCGCGGCGGGGTGGCAGCGGGTGGCGATGCCATCATTATATTATTATTGGACAAAGAAAAACACTACGTGTTGAATGTGTACAACGCTGCAGCCGTCGCCGCCGCTGCCGCCGGGTCGTAACTCGTAAACATCGGTAGCGGCGGCGGCGGTGGCTGCGGCGGCGGCGGCAACAGCAGCCGGGGTAGCAGTAGCAGTCGTAGTAGCTACTAGTTGCTGTTTAAAAATTGAACAAACCCGCACGTATAATACGGTATTATTACTATAGGCGGCGGATGGCGATAAAAACCCGGTGCGGCGAAAAACCGCATCGGTCGGTCGCCGTACGCGCACCACACGTGGATTTTGGGTATAATGCGGAGACGATAAAAAAAAAATTAAAAAAAAAAATTAAAAAAATAAATTACCCGTCCCAATATTGCTCACCTTTAATTATGATGGCGGCGAAAACGAAGAGTACCGCGACTAGTTTTTCGGACATCATCGCGAAGACGGCGGCGACGGGGACGCCGGCGACGTGCGCGTCACGGGTGCCGACGACGGAAATCAATCACGCGCGGGCGGGTTCAGCGCGAACGGACAGCGGCCGGACGGACGGCCTGCACCGACACCGCCATCCACAGTTGTTGTATCGCCGCACCATCGTCAGCGCCGTATGTACCGGGGGCACGGTTTCGGACCGTTACGGTGGCTCCGGGTCCCGGCGGCTGTTCCCTCGGCGTTCGCGGTGCGTCGGACGGCTGCGGCGGCGTCGGCGACGGACACGTGGACGGCCGGCTCCGGAGGACACGACGGCGCGATGGTGACGGACGGTTTGCGGCGGCGGCGGCGACGGCGCGCCGACTACCCATTACCGGCACCGGGACGGGGTTTTGGACTCTTATGCGCGCGGAACGACAGCGACGGTGCGAAAAACGATACGGAACATCCGACGCGTGTGTAAACGTGCGTAACACTATGCGTACGCGCGCGTGCGAAACGCAAACCGATCCGGCTCGTTTCGCGATTCGCGAATATAATATTTGTATATATGTAAATATACGCGCGTGTGCGTGTGTACACGCGTACGGGTATTAACCGACGTAAAACCGCGTGCGGGATGTCCGCCTGTCGCCTGACGACGTCGTCCACGCGAGAATGCCGTGCGGCAGAGGACGCGACGGACCGAACGGAACGCGGACGGCCGGTACGGGACGTTTATGCGCGGCGCGGACACGTCGTCGGGAAGACGCCTTTGAGGACGCGGACGAGTGAGTGACGACGCCGCCGGCAGCCGGGACGACGATTCGTACAGGACTGGTCGCCGGGTCCGCGAGTCGGAAGCTGGCCGCGTTGTCTGTGCGCGCGGGCGCCGGGCGAGTGTGCGTGCGCGCGCGTATGGTGCCTGTGCTGCCGCCACCCGTTGGTGCTATCGCGGGCCGCCGTTTTGCTGATATCGCAGCGGCCACTCCGCCGCCGCGGCGGTGCCGGCGCGACGCAGCGCCAGCGCCGCGCGGGCCGGTAGTCGGCACCCGCGTTCACCTATGGACGCGCGCGCGACGCGTTCAGCCACCGGGTGCCCGGTCGGACGTCCGTCCGTCGGACCGGCCCGGCCTCGCCGGACCCGACGCCGCGCCGAGAGTATATATTTACGCCCGTACCGTTATCGCGAGTAAAGAATAACGTAGGTAGCTACGGTGTACCGTACGCCCGTACGCCCGCCCACGGATCAATGCGGCCGCCCGCCGCTAGAGCGAACCGCTGTCACGCGTGTTGCCGGCGTGTATACACCGCGGCCGCCGCCGCCGCGTCGTTTTTTCGGGATGTCTGACGGCAAAAAAAAAAAAGTGAAAGAAAAAAAGGAAAATAAAAAAATGTATAAAATAATATGTCCTCCGCCGGGCCGTCGATCGGGCGCGCGTTCGCGGACACGTTCGAGACTCCTACGCCGTGGCGGTCGCGATTCCTCTCCCGCCGCCGCCGCGCGTCCCGTCCGCCGGGGCGACGTTTCGCGCGACGACGCCGCGCCGGCGTTCCCGGGCGCGCACGCCGGTCGGACGGCTAATGTCGTTAAAATGCCGTACGCGACACACGGGGTTACGTACGCGGCGCCCGGCGGCGGCCGTCGAAACGGGCGCGCGTCGCCGCCGCGCGAAAATTGAGACGTTTCCGTTATCGGTATTTCGCCGCGTCCCTTCCCGGCCGGCCGCTCGCGCGCGCGCCGTCGCCGTCCGCCGTCCCGCGAGAAAACGGGTTTGTTTATTTTTTCGCGAAGTTTTGTTTTGTTTTTTTTTTTTCGATTCCCAGACGTCCGCCGCCGAAATATAAACGGGTCCCCCCCCCCCATCACCCGGCGCCGTCGCGGAGTTTGGTGCGTACGCGTTTCCGTTATCGCGCGCACGTACGACAACGGTTCTTTGTCGCCGCGGCAGTTGTCACGATGCGGGTGACATTACAGCGCGCAAGATGAGGGAAAACGAGCCCGTCGCCCGTCGCTGTGGTGAATCCTCTTGCGAGCAAGCGCCTAACCACACTCCCCGGAATTATCGTCGGGTCGACTTATCGTTTACCAATCACACTAAAGACTATGTCGGTACACGAAGACTCGTATAAACAATAACAATTACAACGAGGAAACGTGTTGAACAACGTGTTTAAAAGGCGTTGCGATGTTTTCTTCGGGCGAACTTAATTTCACAGTGAAACCGGTGTTTTTTTACACGGGAAATACAGGTTTTCGCGCGATTGTCGCGGTGTTCGTCGACGGTCCGCGTCGGCCCCCGGCGCGCCGGTGATGGCTCCGAACGTCGGTTTTTCGTATACCGAGCGTGCGCGGGTGAACGTATCGCCGGTATTCGTCCGCCCGGACTTTAAACGGCTCTCCCGCCGGAAATCTCGATCGGGTCCGTCTGGGACGGGCACGTCGAACACGCGGCCCGCAACGTTGACGGTGTCGGCACATCAACCGAAAATGTTCGCGAAACACACGAGCAACGCGACGCGGTCGTAGGCACGATTGCCGGCGGCCCCGTTAACCGGGAGCGCCAGCGCCGGCACGCGAGTACCGCGGCCGGGCCGCCGCGTCCGGCCGATCCGCGTGTCCTCGCGTCCCGTACTCGCGCTCGTCGTCGCTTCGTCTTCCGCCGCCCGTTTAAACGCGTCTATTGTTCCCGTTCTCCGATAACGCGTCGCGAAACATAACGGCGCAACACATCGCGCCCGTCCGCGCGCGTTCCGTATTATATTTGAGCGTCACGAGGCCAAACGGCCCGTCGCACCGAATGTCCGCGAGTCTCCCGCGTGTCGCGAGACTTTTCGGCGTGCCGACGCGACGTCCGCACGCGGGGCCGCCGTGCGTGAACGTCTGTTGACACGGCTGGCCCGGCGACGCAAACAACATTGGAAAAACCCCATTCGCGTTTGTCGTAACGGCCCGTCGAGACCCGTCGGCGCGTCCTCGTGCCCGCCCCTCGCGTTCCGGCCGACGGACTTCTCGCCGACTCCGAGCGGTGTACCGAGGCGAGCGATACGTTTCGCCCGCACTCTCGCAGCGGAACGTCGAGGAAAAACTCGAGCAGACGCGAACAAACGAACGGACAACGTTCTCGCGCGGCGTGTGGCCGCCGGTCAATATTAAATTCGCAATACGTCTTCACGTGAGCGTGTACATTTTTTATATCGCGACGCGGACCGTACAGCAGACACACACACACACACACACACACACACACGCCGGCGCGCGTGCGACCGCGGAAAGATACGCGCACACGCGCGTCGACGGACGGACCGACGCGCGTCGACGGACGGACCGCCGTGCGTCCGCGTCATACGTATATCACGCCGTAACAATATCGTTTCACGGCGCACACCCGTGTATAAGTATCCGTATTATGTTTGACCGTTCATCTCTCGTCCGCCACACCGCGTTAGTCCGCCTTTCCCACAACCCCCCCCCACCCTTTTTTACTATATTTTCACGTTCGCCTCTCGTTCTACTGCGGCGGACGGAACGCAAACAACTATGAAAAAAACATTAATTTCGCGTCACGGCGTCTTAGAGAATCGGTACGTTTGTCGTATACACGATGTTATACAGTGCATTATCACCCGATAAACACGCAACCGAATGAGTATGTTATCGATCGTGGATTGATGCGTTGATGTCATTTGATGTACGCTACCCGTACCCTGGTGTCAACGTCGAATCCGGTCGTTCGATAATCACACGGTACGGTTATCAATTAACGGTAAACTATTTAAAGGGACGGACATGCCTCGCACGTGGGTCGCACGCGGTTCGTACGCAGTCACGGTTGTAAGCGGGAAGTCGGGAAGGTGCGATACAAACGGGAACGTAATGCGTATCTGTAGGCGACGATGGACCGTTGGTAACGAAAAAAATTGATTTTGAGCGGAGTTCCGTTATTAGTGTTGCTTTGTCAACAACATATATAATATTATGTCACATCACGTCAAAATGATTACGACAACGTGCGTTTCCACGACAACGATGATTGTTTAAAAAATATTGAATTTATAAAAACTTCATAATAACTTCATAATAACAAAAAAAATATATAAAAATAACAATAAAAACGGTTGCAAATGACAACCTTGCTTTTAATCTTTCGATCTTGTTTCACCTAAAGAACCAGGTTTTCCGCATTATCTCGAATATTAATGAGAATTTCAAGAAATGACCTACTTGAAGTACTACTCAGAGAACATTTACTTACACAAAAGGTGTTATACTTGATAGTCGGAGTGAGCTTGCCGGTAGAAAAAACCGTTCACAAAACAAAAAAAGTAATAATAACAATCATAGACGTTTTTGTAAAACCAATACATTCTTCGCTTTACGCAGAATCAGAAATACTTACAAATAATTGTATTCCACCCGTTGTGGGTTCGTAAATAATAAAATCGAAAAACGCGTGGTGAAATGTTTTTTTTTTTTTGTTTCGTTAAATGTTTGGTAAAGTGTTCAATATAACTGGTCCACTTGATACTTTGAGTGTGACATGCCTGGCCCGGGACGTCGGTTTTCGTTGTTCTCAAGCGGTTTCCGTCGTTATCCCGTCGGAGTGCTGCCTTCCGCGTACTCCCGTGACCGCATGGACGAATAACGAATAATTGATAATTCCGCGTTTGTTTGCGGAGCCGAGCTACGGACAATGAATCACGTCGTTAGTCGACGCGAAGGGCGAAATCGGGTTCAACGACACCCTCCCAGAACCGCGCGCGATAGCGGACGAACCTATCCGGTGGCCGAACGACGTGGATATCGATACGCGACGGGCTCGGGCCGGAGAATTGTCGCCGCGTTTTATAAACCGACTGTAATCAATGTTGTCGTATTTGCATTGGTACTTGTGCGTCGTGAGGAAAATAAAAAAAAATTAACAAATACCGTAATAAACGTGAAAAATCAAATCGAATCGTCGAAGATAGATTGAGAAATTACCATATTTGAAGAGCCGTCAAATCATTCCGAGTTTGATCAACGTTGAAAACGATCTCGTTTTCGTATTCTAATCGTACAATAAACGAAATATCTGAAATCATAAACTCGCAAAGTGAAATATTACGAATTAAGTAAATATTTCCACGTCTATTTTTTATACTGTGCGAACTTTTGTTGCTGATTAATTCATTAGTTCAAAATTTATGTGGGACGTGTTTTCAGGATTTTGACGTTTTTCATATTCTGAGAGTATCGGAGAAATTGTTAGTTTTATCTAGACGTGATTTTGCCCTGAAAAAACTCTTTCGGTTTATTAGAAATGCTCTGGATTTGAGATTCTAAGCGGACAAAAAAATGCAAATTGATTAATGTTGTTTGTAAAGAATATTTTACTAGAAATCTTGCTCCGATAAAATAAAATTCTGAAATACTTTTGGTGTTTTTTATTCCTATTTGATGATGAAAAACAGTCATTATTTGCTTTTATATATAATTTTTAATGGACAACACCGGGGAAAACATAAAAAGAAAGTGAATGTTTACGGTTTCAATGGATTCGTTTTTTTTCAATTATGTTTCTCATTGTGACTCGAATAAAAATATTCATAGAGACTTGGAGCTTTCACTGAAAACAAATTTTAGCCTTTTTTGGACGTAGACGAATTTTATAAACATTCTGGCGATTTAGAAATTTGTATTTTACCAATTATTTGTTTGGATAAAAATGCTTTCAAAATTCAACAAGATGTTCGTTAAAAGTTGTACTTAGGGGCC